ATTTACCTGCAGAGTTCTTTCAGTTAAATAATTTTGAATTACTTTCATAATATAGAGTGGAAAATTAAACTTTTTCAATTTAGCAATCAACCCTTCATGCCAAACACTGTCGAATGCTTATTCTATGTCTAGAAGAGCAACTCCAGTTGAGTGGCCTTCAGATTTGTTTGAATGAATTAAACTGGTAACTCTTAACTTATCATTGTCCAACGTTATTTTGAAATCCAAGATGGTGACTTAAAATTTCAGAAAAATAGGAAATACTGTCAAATACCCTTCAATATGGATATATTTGGAATTGCGATGATGTTCAAAGAAGAAATTGATGTCCGATGATTCAGAAAAAGTGAGAAATTTGGTCAAATTCCCTTCAATATGGATATTTTTAAGTCGAGGTGACTTCTAGGGACCATAAATGTATGTCCAATGCCATTTTAAAATCCAAAATAGCAGATTCTGATTTCAGAAAAAAATGCGAAATACTGTCAAATCCCTTCAATATAGGTATTTTCGAAATCAGGGTGTTGTCTAGACATCAGATATCATTGTCCAACGCCATTTTGAAACGCCAATGGCGGCTTCTGGGTTCAGAAAAAGTGGGAAATACTGTCAAATAAGCTTCAATATTTATATTTTTGGAATCAAGGTGACGTCTAGAGACCGTTGTGACGTCTAGAGGTCGTTGTCCGACGCCATCTCGAAATCCAAGAAGATGGTTTTCAGTTGCAGAAAAAGAGAGAAATGCTGTCAAAAACCCATCAATATGAGTATTTTTGGAAATGGAATGACATCTAGAGACCGGATATCGAAATCGGAATCACGTCTAGATATAGAAAATGAATGCCTTGAAATCCAAGATGGCAGCTACAAGATACAGGAAAAGTTGGAAATACTGTCAAATACGCATCAATGTGTCCGATTTCATATTGAATTCCATGATGGCAGCTCTTAGTTACAGATAAACTGGATAGTACTGTTAAATACCCCCACAATATGGGTATTTTCGGAATGGGGACGATATGTAGTTCCTAAAAATCGATTTCCGACGCAATTTTGGAATCTAAGATTGGCGGTCCTCTGTTTTTATAAAACTGTCAAATACCCTACAATAGACGCAAAATTGATGGCTGGCGCCATTTTGCCATTCCAATTTTCTACATCTACACGTTGTCCTTGTTCCGAAAATATACATATTTTAGAGTATTTTACAGTTTTTTTTTTTAAACAATGGCCGCCATCTTGGACTACAAAATGGCTTCGAACATATTTTTTCGGCATATACACGTTATCCCGGTTCTGATAATACCCATATTATAAGGTATACGATAGTTTTTTTTAAACCGAGAGCCACCATGTTGGATTCGACTTTCGGCATAAAATATCTATTTATAGGGTATTTGACAGTTTTTCTAAATTTAATGGCATAATGGAAAAAAAAGTGGCGTCAGAAATTGATTTTCGGCATCCACACGCCAGCCCGTTCCAAAAATACCCATATTGTAGGGTATTTTACAGTTTTGTAGAATTTGAAAGCAGCTGTATTGTATTACAAAATGGCGTCGAACATTGATATTCGGCATCTCCATGTCTTCTCCGAAATTATTGACAGTTTTTTTTCTGAAGTAAAGGCCACCATATTGGATTCAAAAATGGCGTCAGACATCGATTTTCGAAATGTATGTGTCGTCCCCGTTCTGATTATCTGAAAACAATGGCCGCAATCTTGATTCAAGCTACTTCCAGACAAAGGGTAAATCCCGTCAAAACATTACAATTCCAGTTATTTCAATCTTGTTATGTCTCTTATACAAAGCGACATGCATTTATTTACTAGAAAACGACCAGCGGCAGTTTTGTCGTGACAGAATGGAAGAATGACATGACAGACTTTTTTCGTCAATAGCCATCCCAACTAACAATTTTAGCTGCAGATTAGCTTATACAGCCAAAAATTGGCTTATACAGCTAATTTTTGCCTGTATAAGCTAATCTGCAGCTAAAATTGTTTGTTGGGATGTCAACAGTTTCCGTCAATCTTGTCGTCTGGCGTACGTGAAACAACTAAGTCGTTCTGGAAAACGTCACGCAACAGATGTTTCGTGACAGTGTTCACTCGGCTATCAACAAAAGCAGGCCACTCTCGATGTGTGCCACGCGATCGTCTGTTTTCTTGGCAGCAACCATTGTGTGGTCCTCCTCATTGTTCTTCATCAGCAGTTCTTTCGGTCGATGCGTCGTTGACTTTGGAAAGCAACCGTTTCGTGATGAGTGTGTTAGTGCTGACCACATTTTGCGTCCATTACTGCAATGGAAGCGCTCTGCCCCCCGATGGCGTTATTGCCAAACAATGAAACTGGTCACTAGAAGCGGCTCCAGTTCAGATGGAGGAGGCCTTTTGGATAGTGGAAGATAAAGTGTTTATTGTGTTGTACCTTTTGACTAAAGTTTTAAGATGTATTGTATAGTGACCAAGAATCCTCGGCTCTGTAAAGTTAATTCGTTTAAACCTTATCAAATGAATTAATAAACAAGTTGTTTCGTGACCAAATGAGAGAAAGACAAGAATAGAAAATGTTTCGTCGAGAGACAGCCCAGTAGATCAGTCTTTCAAGCAGAAGTTTGTTGCATCGTGCTCGTCAGATGAGCGTTGACTTCTTTTGCTGTCTTTGTTACATAGTTTATCGCCATGAGGTTGACAATTCCCAAGCCTGGTTATGGTACTGGCCTAACGAATGTGAATGAGCAATAAACTGGATACTACACGGATGGAAATCTCCTTAAACCTTTTGGCAAATTTCTATTACTGATTATTCATAAAATGTATAAGTCAACTTATAAGCAGACGCCTTGCAAAAAGTTAATGAAGATCATTTGTCAAATAAAATGTATAAGCAGTCACACATACCTTTTATTCATAATTATAGGACATATATGGTTTGTCTTATGTCAAATACCATAAACGAAATATATCCTGGATGGGTAAACTATCCCACAAATGGTTTGGATGATACCCCAAACACGTCGTTAAGCTCTGTTTTATGGTTATTTTTATTAGGAGTATAAGGCTGATGTTTGGGCAAAAATGTATAAGTGAAACACGTGAATAAAATAATTGATTTTCGTTTCGTGTAATTTCAGTAACGAGGATTTCAAAGCTAAGGGACTGATACAATCATCAAATCTGCGAAATCTGGCAAGGAATACAGACACCGCTAAACTCATTTGAAGAAGGTTTGGAAGTGGATTCAGGATGACGACCATTGCTATTCTCCAAAAGGCTCTGCTTCTGAAATAGTTCTTCCACAGTAAGTAATTTAAATCAAATGGATTCCAATTTAAGGTCAACTTTGATTTTTTCGACCGCTTTATTCCGATCGATTTTCTATAAGATTTAAGGAAATCGTCGCTAAGTTATGCCTGTGAACATAATCTGGATTTAGAATTGAAAACCTTTGGCTCGGAACGATTTGACCCATGTTTTAAGATTTCTCGCGCAACACGAGAAAAGGGCCTATCATTGTTGATCGATTCTCTTCATCGACTTCCTCTTTCGCGAATAAACCGACTGCACTTGCATTTTCCATTGAGTGTGTTGTTTCAAGCGCAAGCTAATATCATCTTCTGTCGAACTGTGTTGCGAGCATAGCGAGAAATTCGTTTACATAAACACTTAGAAAAAATCATGTAAATTTAGGTGCTCTGAGAGCGACATATACGTTCGTCAATTTTGACACAAATTTGAGTCATAACAGACGCAAAATATAGCACTATCAAACGTACTTTTCGTCGAGCAACGAAATTTTCAGTCTCGGAGCACTTAATATTGCATGAAATGTTTGTTTAAGTCTCATCTTTTATGTCAAAGATGGATTCCGTCACGTGTAAAATTAGTTATTTCTAAGTGTGTAGCCGTGGTTATAAACCCAAGAGAAAGTTGATGAAGAGAATTGATCAACGAGGATAGGCTGTTTTCAAATGTTACGTGAGATTTACAAAAACCAAGCACAAATCCCAGTGCAGCTGCACGCAGTAAAGAATGTCAATTGATAATCAATTTTAGATTAGATATTGCGAGCGATATTGTACCTGCACTGAATTTCACTTTCGACACTGATATTCCTAGCAAACATGATAGCGGGTAGTTTTCACATAGCATTCCATATGAATATCACAAGGAAGCAATTAATAATCTTACTCTTAACTAAATAAATGAACTATTTCGTTGCGTTGTATTTACAATGAGTTTTCTAAACGACTGTAGGTACACGATTAGCTGGCATCAGTGGAAAATATTTGCTTCAGAACATTGAATTTCAGTAGGTCTCATTACGACATCAATGTCATTAGAGCACTGACATTATATGAAGTGATACTGACATCAGGTGGCTAGTGAAAAACGGCATTTTGTAGGTATTGATATTGATATTTTGCGCACTGGTTTTAAGATGACTATTGGGTATAAATATTTATAAAAAAAACTACACATTATCGCGATTCCTGTTTCAATTTCATCAACTCACCACTTTCGTTGATTTTCCCCATCCTAAATCATCCATTTCAATAATGCACATCACCCGTCATGTACAATCACTAGCAAGATCGAGTATCGTGATTGTAAATATGAAAGGCCTTGTCGCGATAACAAAACAAAGCACCACTCAACAAGTGTCACCCACCACAAACGATCCGAAATCACGACGTCATCGTTAGGGGAGAGTGAGTGTGGGCACAGTTGGAGAGTGCCTTGGAAAGTACTCGTGAGTTGCGCGCGCACTTTTGGATCTCGTGTTGTACCGCTTGTTATAACATCTTGATAACGACACGCATGATCCCCATCCGCCGTCCGTCGTTGTCGTTATCGTCTATGTGTTGAATAGTTGAGTGCCCCAACTGATCCGACGGCGGCCGTGGGAGAAAATTCTGCACGGCGAAAGAATCAATTAATATTTGCCACCGGTTGGCGGTGGCCTTTCAGTCATCTGTCAACGCGCTTCGTGGGAGGATCTCCCCCACCTAAATAGGACCCGGTTCTTGCCTAGATTGTTCAGATTGAAAGTGAAAAACGTACGAACGCTAGACAAAGGCGGTATAGATTTTGCAATAGAAAAGTGGATTTGATACACAGCCTTTAGGGAAATCGGTTTCGCGAGTTAAGTGTGCTAAATTTGTGATCCCATCCGAATTGATGTTCCTCTGCTTTTGAACAACAATTCCTGCGACCATTAGTTAGTGCCTTCGGAACGGGTGAGGGGATTATTTGTTTTATGCGAAGTGGCAGATTTATAGCAGGCGGAGAAAGAAACTGCAGGTGTTGAGCTGACCGTTTGCTGACTTTCTCGTTGGACGGGTGGTTTCGGTGCTTTTCGGACTGAGAGCGGAGCAAGATGTCGTAAGTTATTATACACGTTAGGAAAAATTAACACAGTTTTTCTAGACCAACAATTACACTAAAGCACTACGAAGGTTAAAGTAGCTATCTGTTATGAATATGTTAACACGGCGAGAACGAAAGGGATTGAAATCAAAAGGACTTGGGGTAACTAGCGATCCTGTAGCAACACGTTCGTGTTTCTCAGAATAGTGCATGTTGAAACATGCACAAGCTTTTCGAGACAGCTGGACACTTTTGAGAGATGAGATTCTACGAGCCAGTGTTTTTGGTTATCGATTCTTTCGTTGCTACTTTTTTGCAATCACTTATTATGGTTTCAGCACTTAGGCATTATATTTCAGTAAATGTATCAAGGACTTCAATAGTAAAGTAAGTTGGAGAACGGCTTCGGTTCTTACAACTTACAACGCTCATTTTTTGCAGTATGATGCGTGGATGGATTTCTGATTAATTTATTTATTAAAAAAAAAAGACCCCGTGCTTCCAGTGTTGGGTGGCTGAACAATCCCAAATTTACTTCAGTGATCAGATTTTTTAAAGATTGTTTAATAATCCTATCAGTCACTCCACAATGCACCCAGATTTGATAAGCCAAGTGACAGCTCAATTTATTGTCTAATGATATGCTGCTTTACAGCAACGTATCAAAATCGGATGCATTGTGCGCCGCAGTTTTTTCGTGCTAAGAATATCAACACACAATTTTAACAGATAAAGAGTTGAATAAGCCATTTTTTTTTTGCTGATTGTGCATATTTTTGCTTGAATGAGTCCTATCTTGCTTTAAATGTTTTTGGTGGACCTACTTGGAAAGGTTGTTATGGAGCACTATGTGGAGACGCATGGTAGTTTTTTGAAGCAGTACTATTGAAAATAACTTTTTTGAACCACAGTTATGCATGAACAAATCAACTTGTAGCGGCGCTGGTGGTGTAGTGGTAAGCTTGATTACCTCTCACCCCAGCAGGCCTGGGTTCACTCCCAGTCGGCGCCGTCGGGATGTTCTGAGGCATAACATCTCTGATCACGCCTTCCTTCGGAAGGGAAGTAAAGCCGTTGGTCCCAGTCTATGAGTTGTTAGGTCGATAGTTAGGATCCAGGTGTGGTGCTCAGCACTGAAAACAAGATCGACGGAAACAAATCAAAGAAAAAAAAAACAAATCAACTTCATATATTCGGTGTTGCACACACAAATGGAGCCGCTAACGTGAAAGAAAAACGCGTGCAAATTAAACGACAGTACCTCAAATTTGAAACACAAGCCCCCCTATTCTGTGAGTCACGTGACTCTCTCTCACCGGTGAGGTGACAATTGTCACCTCACCGGTGACAGAGAGTCACGTGACTCGCAGAATAAGGGGGAAGATGTGTCATGTTTCCTGATGACTGAATTGGCATTGTCATGTTATTAGAAGCGTTTTAAGATGCATGGATCGAGATGCTTTTGCCGAAACGTTTATTCGGATTAATTTATGTTCTGAAACAGAGAGATTTTCGAAAATTTTAGCTTCAAACAGCGTTGCCAACCTTTCTGATTTATCTGGATTCCTGTAGATTTTTATGGACTATCCAGACACGTTTTTCACAAGTTCTTAGTTTGCCTTTGTTTACAATAATGTATCATTAACTTTGCCGGTATAATCAAACTTCTGATGAATCTCCAGCTATCATTTGAATTTGCATCACATATTTTACTATTAACCCTTCGTTACTCGCGCCAACTTTTGAAACAAGAGTACTCGCACGTTGTACTTGGCCAACAATGTGAGTATTCCATTGCCATTTTGCAGCCGAGCTACCAATCGATATGATACAAACGGGTATTCCTTACAAAACTTGTTTTTAACTAAACAAACTAAACTTTTATCACAGTTAACCCCCAAAAATTGTGGATAATAGAGAAAACGTGAATGGAAACCGCGTAAACGGTGTCCGTACTATGTGAGGCCTCCCTTAGCTCAGTCGGTAAAGGCGCAGCTACAAAGCAAGACCATGCTGGAGGTGCTGGGTTCAATTCCCGGTCCAGTCTAGGAATTTTTCGGGTTGGAAAATTTCTCGACTTTCCTGGGCATAGAAGTATGATTGGACTTGCCATACAATTATACTAATGCAAAAATGGTACACACAGTTCGAAAAAGTAGTGTAAATTTCTGTTTAGTATGACGCACATAAATGGAGCGTCACATATCATATAAGTTTACATTATATATCATGTAAAGTTCTGAGACATTTCATACAATGTAGCAAATATTGTATACAAAAGCCCATTATTGCAAACAACATTGTTTACAAGTTGCTCGGTTGCGTGAAATGAAATACAAGTTTACGTGAATGAATGTTTACATCACAATTAAAATTCAGATTTTTTTTTCTGTGCAGGCATCGAAAGCTTTCAATTAATAACTGTGGAAGTGCACATAGAACACTAAGTTGAGAGCACGCAATAAGCTAATATGCCATACGCAATAAGCTTGAAATGCGCGGAAGAAGAAGAAGACTATGTGGGATTCGACTTAATTGGTTTCAACATGGAGAGATGAACTAGCCTCAGGCTAAAAATCTCTAAAATAAAGATTAAAAAAAAAAAAAAAAAAGGTTACAACATGGAAAATCTCGAGATCCTGACCAGCTAGAAAGTTACTGTCTTGGGCATAGTTGTTCTAGAGATCATAACCTTTTTGCTGTTGGAGAGTAGTTCTGAAAATTCTCACTACGTGGTGCTACACACCAAAAAATTCTGAATTTTACTGGCGATGTAAACATCCATGCATGCAAACATTCATGCATGTAAACTTCCTTTTTACGTAAACTAGCAGCTTGCAAGAAATGTTGCAAACAAAAGTGGACAGTTGCATACAATATATGGAATATTGCATGACATGTCTCATAAATTTACACGATCTTTAATCTAAACTTGTATGATATACGACGCTCCATTTATGTGCATTATAGTAACGGAAATTTACATTACTTTTTTTAGCTGTGTAGTATATACGTGCAATTTTAGCATATACAATAGTTCGAGATCCTGAGAAGATAGAAAGTTACTGTCTTCGGCAAACTTGTTCAGGGGGTCAAGACTTTTTGGCTGGTGGACATTAGTTCAGAACTTTCTCACTACACGGCGCTAGTGCACACATGAAATTCTCTTATTTTTAATATCTCGAGACCCTGACCAGATAGAAAGTTACTGTCTTCGGCAAAACTGTTCAGGATATCATGAATTTTTCGCTGGTGAACAGTAATTCAAAAACTTCTCACAAGGTAGCACTCGTATACATGTTAAGTTCTGGCAAGTGTTACATCACTAGATCCTGACCAGATGGGGAGTAAATGTCTTTGGCAAAGTTGTTCAGGAAGTTAAGATCTTTTTGTTGGTGGACAGTTGAATTTTCTCACTACGCGGTGCTAGTATACACATGCAATTCCTGTATATTCAATAGCTCGAGATCCTGAGCAGATAGAAAGTAACTGTTCTCGACAAACTTGTTCAAGGGGTCAAGACTTTTTGGCTGGTGGACAGAAGCCCAAAATTTTCTCACCACGTGGCAATTCTCGCGTATGGTATAGCTCGTGATCCTGAACAGGTAGAAAATTACTGTCTTCGAAAAAGTTGTTCATGATGTCAATGCCTATTGCTTGGTGCACAATAGTTCAGAATGTTCACACTACGTGGCATAAGTATACACGCAAAATTCTCGCATATAAAATATCTCGAGATTCTGATCAGATAGAAAGTTACTGTCGTCGAAAAAGTTGTTCAAGTTGTCATAACTTGTTTGCTTTTGAAAAGTAGATCAAAATTTTCTCACTGCCTAACGCTAGTTGAGAATTTCCTAAGCGGCGCTAGTATAGAAATTTTCACATATAAAATATCACGAGATCCTGACCAAATAGAATGTTCCTGTCCTGGGCAAAGTTGTTAAGGGGGCCAAGGCCTTTTGGCTGGTGGACAGAAATTCAATTTTTTTTCACATCATTGCGCTTGTATACACGTGCAATTCTCGCATTAGACACATTTTGAGACCTGCTAAACTGTCGTCGGCAAAGTTGTCCAGGAGATCAAAACTTTTTCGTTGGTCGACAGTACAGAATTTTCTCACTACGCGGCGCTAGGATATACGTGAAATCTTCGCATATATAATATCTCGAGATCCTAAACAGCTAGAAATTTACTGTTTTTGGTAAAGCTGTTTAGGAGATAAAGATCTTTTGGCTGATGAAAAGCAGCCAGAAATTTCTCAAAATTTGGCGGGCAATTCTCGCATATCAAATATCATAAAATAAAAGTATAATTTACATCAGCCTAGGTGGAATATGACAAATATATTATGGATTTCTTTTACTGGTGAAGATTTTCATGCAGATTTGTGGATACATAAATTGGAGTGGGTCGTTCCACTTGTAACGGATGTTCAATAAAAAATGAGAATGATTTCACTAGCGTCCAGCGCAACTAAGTTGCGCCTTCCACAAAATGAATGTTTAGAGTCTCCCTTTCATTTTAGGCTAATTTCAAAATGTCTTATCGAGGGGTCTAGAACAAAACTAAGTCCCTGTATTTACGTGTGCACGGACAACGAGACTAACTCAGAGAGTGAGGCACTTTTACTCAGTTGAATGGAGAAATTTATAAAACCGTACACCCCCGATTATAAGTTTAAGGACACCCCCAAAAAACCTGCAAATGTGTTATGTTCATATCTTTGTCATTTTACGCCTAATTTTGAAAATTTTTGAATGGAAATACGAAAAAGCAAATTGCTCAATACAATTTTCAAATTTTGTATACCAAAGTTTCACCCAAAGTTACACTATTTTTCAAAATATACTCTGAAGAATCATGATTGATTGTCTCAGAATTGAGTTGAAAAATATATATTTGAAATTAAAAGTAGTAGTAGAACCCTTATTCTATGCGATTCATACCATCCAAATAACCTAAGGAGATTAAAAATTGGACGTTTAATGAGAGAGCTTTGAACAAAACACATTGG